AAAGTCCCGCTAGTTGTACACTGCCATAGAAGTCACGTTTCATCTGTTTTAAGAAACTCTGCCAGTGTTCCCTCTTTATTTGTCTAACTAAAGCATTTGTTTCATTTCTGATTTATTTATAGTGGTTGTATGTCTGATGTGTTTGTTGGATTCCGTTTTGTAAAGGAGCTTTTTCTTAAATAATTTTAAAGGTATCTATTTAAGAACAAATACATATTTACCATTTATTTAATGAAAATATGTTTAATTTACTATTTTTTTGGGAAGAAGTCACAACTTACAAAACATTAATAAATATCTAGAAAATCGCCGTAGAACAATATTATGAAAATATGTCTAAATAACGTATATTTTCATGTTTTGTAAAAATTATTTGTCTATTTGTGTTTTGATAATATTTTATCAATCCAACATATTATTTCATAATATTTCAATCTTCGACCATAATTTCCAGCAATGAACAATAGTTGATTAAATATTAAAACAGTATAATTTATTTACAATACCTGAAGTAAATCTTCTTATTATGAGTTTTCTTTAAATTTCATGTATTTTGTCTTGCAAAAATAATACCACAATATTATCTAGTTATTTTAAAAAAATGTCATATCAAAATCTTCATTTCCTATGACCTCTTGCCTTTTGGCACCCAGCCAATTTCCTAACTCCGTAATCGTTGTTTTTAATTTTTTTAACTACTATATTTTTGTGAATAAACCAGAATTATGATTAACCTAGAATTTCAGCGTATCAGTCATACAGTGAATTTTCTTTTCTTTTAATGGTAGATAAAACACAAACTTTTTATTTAAGAAGAGTTATAATTTGTAATGATGAAACATGCTATGAAAACATGACAGTCAAGAATAAACTATTTTCAGTAGTAATATGCCTAGGAGATTGATAACAGACGAGATAATTTCATGACAATCGAAAGCTCATTCGAGCTTTCGACGAGCAACGAGCTTGAGAAATTTGTCATGAAATTATGAGGCATTCATCAATGTCCCAGGGATATTCGGCGGATAATTTTTCGAAAAAAAAATCATAACTTAACATAACGAAACATTTATTTATTAATAGTACAGTTAGTGAAAGTACAATTATTAAAATTTAAGTTAACATTAGATTCGTTGCTGTTCTCTACTATAGAAGATCTATTACCACGCATAATATTTTTTTTCTACTCTCTTACTAGTAAATTGTATATTACCTACTATTTGGATGCTAAGTAAATGCATCATAACAGATACTGACACGTAATGACTAGCACGTAATAAAAAAAATTACGCTTCAGTTCTATAAAAATGTGTAATATCACATAAGCCTTGTAAGTCAGTTGGTCGAGTTACCATGGAAACGAATTAACAGGCGTTGTTTTGACAGGTTAAAAATTATTAATCTGTCATTGTAAATATAGTGGTAATTTAATTTTTATTTTTATAAACAAAAATAACGGTAGAAAAAGTATAGTACACAACTTGAGTTGTAATCTTATTACATGCTTGTAAAATTACTGCGCTCGCCGCTACGCGGCTCGCGCGCAACTTTTTTACTCGCATGTAATAAGCTTCTTACAACTCTCGTTATGTAATATACTATTTTCTACTCGCTTACTAGTAAATTGTATATTACCTACTATTTGGATGCTAAGTAAATGCATCATAACAGATACTGACACGTAATGACTAGCACGTAATAAAAAAAATTACGCTTCAGTTTTATAAAAATGTGTAATATCACATAAGCCTTGTAAGTCAGTTGGTCGAGTTACCATGGAAACGAATTAACAGACGTTATTTTGACAGATTAAAAATTATTAATATGTCAGTGTAAATATAGTGGTAATTTAATTTTTATTTTTATAAACGAAAATAATGGTAGAAAAAGTATAGTACACGACTTGAGTTGTAAGCTTATTACATGCTTGTAAAATTACTGCGCTCGCCGCTACGCGGCTCGCGCGCAACTTTTTTACTCGCATGTAATAAGCTTCTTACAACTCTCGTTATGTAATATACTATTATAATCTTGTTGTGGTGTTCTTGATCGAGATTCAAGTATGGTTTTTTTTTTCTCATATTGACGGCCCAATCTTTTAGTATCTACGCCAATTCTTCTAAGCTTCATGTTCATTCAACTCATATTCTCGTCCACAGCAAAATTCCATGAATATTCCCCAAATATATTTGTGACTGTAGGTTATATTTATGTGAATTTTTTCTTTGATTAGCGCATTTATACTTTGAACATTCTCATTGCCGAAACGTGACATTTTGAAATTTATTTGGATGAAGTTGTCAAACTCGATCGTGTTGCCATAGGGATTAAAAATTGCGCTGAATGCAATTATCAGTCTAATGTTGACATGATTGGGTGAAATTGTTCCACATGACACAAAATGACGAAATTTGAATGGTTGTTAGAACAGTCGAAAAATTATTAACATAATAGTCCGTCCCAAACCCTTCTTTCATAGTTAGAAGTGACAGAAAAAACGTGAATCTGTGATTATTATACATAGTAATTTTTTTTGTGGCATAGACTTTTCTCATTCAGCCAGTCTCGAAAGGTTATATACATAAAACTTAGAAAATTAGGTATTGTTCATGGGCATTCGCATATTAGAGCGAATTCTACTTACGAATGTATAATTACATACATATAATTTGACGCAGATGGTCTCGATTGTGACAGTGACAGTACTTTCACAATGTCAACTGATAAAATGATAATTGCATCGAGTTAGAATCAATGGAAAGAGCATCACGTGACTAAAAACGACCTCGCTTCAACCATATTGGTATGATCGTTGCGTCAGATCGTGTATGATTGTTTACGTTTGTTGTTTTTCGAATATTTTTAGTTTTATAATACTTTTATAGAAACTGTAATATTATATTTTGATAGTGCATAATAATGGTTTCTTGTTCTCAACGAAGTTGCAGTAACAGCAGCAAAGTTAATAAAAATTCTTCAGAAATAACGTTCCACAGGTTAGTATACAAATATGTAAACAGAGTAATGGCCCGACTTCAGAGAATAACTTAATTGTATTCATAAAAAATCTTACAGTAACTTAGAAAAGTTTTTAGAAAAAATTCTATAAATGCATAAAAGAAAGCACACAGTCATTTAGACCAAAACTAACGATATGCAAAGACAAGGACGGAGAACTACTAACAGAGAAGCAAAAAATTATAAGGAGATGGAAACAATATTTCGAAGAAAATCTAAATGCAGCCAACGAAAATGATCAGAACGAGACAATATATTATACGGCGGAGCTGCGCATCGAAAATCCGAGTTACGAAGAAGTAGTTCAGATAATAAATAAACTAAAAAATAATAAAGCACCAGGAACGGACGGAATTTCGGCAGAATTATTAAAGCATGGAGGATCCGAACTCTGGGAAAGAATCCATTACCTAATAACATTAATATGGACGAAGGAGCAAATGCCAGAGGAATGGATAGTTGGCTTCATACAGCCAATATATAAAAAAGGAGATAAGAGGGAATGCCAGAATTATAGGCCAATTACATTGCTAAATGTAATATACAAAATTCTTTCTGGTATAATCTACAATAGATTATTAGAATACTCCGAAAATATAATTGGTGATTATCAAAATGGATTCAGACCAAATAGAGCCACTACAGATAACATATTCATACTAAGAACAAAAGAAGAAAAAGCTTATGAATACGACATAGACCTATATAATATGTATATAGACTTTTAACAAGCTTTTGATAGTGTGAAAAGAGACAGAATGCTGGAAGACCTTTGTAATCTAGGTATACCTAAGAAATACATCAGCCTCATAAAAATGACGTTGCAGGGTTCAAAAGCCGCAGTCAGAGTAGATGGAGAACTGACTCCCCTGTTTAACATCAACATGGGAGTAAGACAGGGAGATGCCCTATCAACCATGCTATTCAACCTAGTTCTTGAGGCAGTCATCAGAAAAACCAATATAACCGGCCATATAAACACCAAATCAGTACAAATTACTGCATATGCAGACGATGTAGCCATCATTAGTAGGAATAAAGCACGACTAATGGAAGTGTTCAAACAAATTGATCCTGAAGCAAGAAAAAGAGGTCTCAAAATAAACGAAGCAAAAACGAAGTATATGACAGTCAAAAGAATAACTGACAATGAAAATAATATCACAATAGACAACTATACTATCAAACGAGTGGATGCCTTTACATATCTCGGCACAGAAATCAATCAGAAGAACTCCGTAAGTAGCGAAATTAATGCACGTATTTCCAGCGGGAATCGTACATACTATTCTAATAAAAGATTGATGACATCGAAATTATTAGACAAAAGAACCAAAATGACTATCTACAGAACACTGATTAGACCCGTAGTAACCCATGGATGTGAAACTTGGGTAATGACGAAAAAAGGTGAAGCCCAACTCAGGACATTCGAGAGAAAAATACTGAGGAAAGAATATGCTCCGGTACAAGAGGAAGATGGCACATGGAGAATCAGGAGAAACGACAACGTTAATGAGTTAAATGAAGGTTATGACATTGTAAGATTTGTGAAAAGTCAAAGACTGTCATGGCTGGGACATGTGCAGAGACAAAACGATGCAAAAACAACAAAGAAAATGTTACAATGGAAGCCCATAGGAAGGCGAAAAAAAGGAAGGCCCAGAACGAGATGGTTGGATGACGTGGAAGACGACTTGAAAACAATGAACATAAGACAATGTAGAAGAAGGGCACAAGAGAGATCTAAATGGAAGGAGATAGCCAGACAGGCAAAGACCCATCCAGGGTTATGATGCCAAAAGAAGAAGAAGAAGAACTTAGAAAAGTTTCTCGATTAATTTTTCAGTCATTATTGAATATTAAAAAAAAAATCTAAAATAGCAATTAAATCATTCACTTCCAACGAAATATAAATAATGAATGCACCGAATATAAAAATACTAATAAACAATTTGTAAATTGTTTATAATATTTTTTAGTTGAATAATCAAAATTCAAAATATAAATTTGTTATTAATACTTCGATGCATACAATTATATGATGCATATAATTGTATTTTTAGGTTTTCAAAAGAAACCAAATAAATATACCTACTTATGTTCAAAATATTTTTTAGAAAAAGATATTGATAGAACTTCACTTTCTTCTATTCGTTTGAAATACACTGCTGTTACAATGGCTTATATCACACAGGTAATATAATTCTTATTAACTATTGCAACATCATTATTTTTATTTCTACACAGTATTTCCATTGTGATATTGGTAGATATTCAATTTTGTTTTTTAATAATTTTAACTTTGTTAATATAACTAAATTTTTAAGTGTCAGTTAATTTGTAGTTACCAAATATATAAGTTGTAAAACGAACGTATTTCTTTTTTCATACCGTATATTAAATTTTACCATTTAAAATATTATTTATATTATTATCTCTTTCAAATACAAATTGTTATTTGATTGTATTAATTTATCTTTTTGTATAATATATCGTGTTTTTAGTGGGATTTAGTGGGTATTTACCGCGGGATAAATAAATCACTGTTTATTAAAAATGTATTGCACTTTTTTAGATTATGATTAACCCTGAGCTACTATCGTGTATTTACACCCACATAATTACTGTCGTGGGGTCATAGATGACCCGAATTTTAAAAACTTCTAAACAAGATATAAAAATATATTTTTTATTGTTTTTGTATTTTTGACAAATGAATGTGTATATAAAAAAGAGATTTTTTGTAAACTTAAATTTTATTTCAAGAAAATCAGGATGCTATAATAAAAAATTATAGAACTTTTAAAATAAATTTCAAAGTTTCAAAAGTTCAAAAAATAGTTTCAAAGTTTCTTTAAATGAATGATATTAATTCCGAATTAGCTTAGGAAATGAGCTATATTTCACCACCAACACTTAGTTCATTAGAAAATGTAAAATTGCCTTGTATCACTAGGATCAGTTATTTCTTCAAAAGATATATTGTTCTCTTCTCGTATAGCTAAATACAGGATTTGTATTTATTTATCTAAGGAAGAATTAATTGATCAATTTATAAATGTTTATCAAGGAAAAATTATAGTAAACAATCAAATAATACAAGGAAGAAGATTAATTACTCCTAGGAAACGACTAATATTATCCAATGTATGTCCAACAATTCCACATAGTATTCTAGAATCAGAACTACAGAAACTAGTTTTTAAACTTATGTCTCCCTTATCATTCCATAGAATTGGCACATCTCGTCCCGAATTTCAACACGTACTAAGTTTTCGTAGACAGGCATATATTTCACCTTTAGTGAACCTAATACTTCCTGAATCCTTGTGAATTTGTCATGACAATACAAACTATAGAATTTTTATGTCTGTAGACCAACACTCCTGTTATATTTGTAAAAATATTGACCATATCGCCTTAAACTGTCTTTAAAAAACAACAACTTCAGTTCAATAATAAATAACACAGTGACTACAGCAGACATTATAACCGACGTAACATAACACTCAGTACAAATCCATTCAGAAGCAAATTATTTGGTACAAGACACTCAATCTAAACAATACAAAAATAAAGATGTAGATGTAAATAAACCAAAATCAAAAAACGATAACCCGCTTACAAATGAAGGTATAAACGTTAATGAAATAGGACTAGAAACTAATGAATCATTGATCATTTCTCCAATTAGCACAGAACCTACACTGCAAACACAGAGCAAAAGAGCTTTCTTCGAAACAGTTACAAATTTTTACAGTTACTTTCTCCGAAACTCCTGATAATATTTTACTGAACAATATGATCATGCAGACACAATTTTCAATAAGCCTTGCTCGATTTATTCTCAGAACAAATCACTTTGCTGGACATTCAGATATTATAAACATTTTTGTAGAGCGTGCACTTGCCGTGTGTTTCAGTCAAACATGGTTTTCAAGTGCAATATAAATAAATCTACCCCATTTTCGAAACTAATTTCCTGTTTGACAATGTAAATCGAGGGGCGATTAACAATTCAGATAAAGAGTGTATGTCCAATTGTGCGCCATTAATATAGGCGAAGCCCGGGGCGTAGAGTGTATATTTTTAAGAGGCGAATTTTTAAAAACCTAAAAAATTATCATAGAATTAGTAATTTGAGATAGAATATATTGAAATACAATATACCACACATTTTAAAATGACGTATTAAAGTAGATAACAAATACGATATAAATTCAAAAAGGTTCAAGTAAATATATAAAAATGAGGTAAGAAATGCTGTGTTGACAGGACCATTCGAAATACACAAGGTTTTCTGAAAATATTGAGCACAAACCCTATGTCTACCATTATCATTTTTCAAATAATATGTCTTTGATAAGTTGCGAGCATTGAGGATTTACTGGATAGACAGAGTTACCAACGAAGAAGTACTACATAGAATGGGTAAAGAGCGCGAACTAGTTGTAACGATAAAACGTCGCAAACGAAAATATCTGGGCCATATAATGCGCAATGAACAACGATATGACCTACTTCGGGCCATACTTCAAGGTAAAGTGCATGGGAAAAGAGGTCCAGGATGGAGAAGAATATCCTGGCTGCATAACCTGCGAAAGTGGTTTAACTTAACCACTACCAGACTTTTCGGGGCAGCAGTCAACAAAGTCAGAATAGCCATGTTAGTGTCCAACATCTTTTTCTTTTTCAAAAATATTATGTGGAATGATCGGACATACGTTTGACATAACAATTCTTTCAGCAGGTGTTATAAGCCGTCTAGCTCTTAAAACTTCTCCTAGGAAAGTGATTTGATCATGGTTATCTAAAAACTCTTCTAGGATATTTTTATTGGCAAAGTACATATAAATTCGGTTGTTGTAAAGGCGGGATGCGAAAATGATATTTTTGGTTAAATTATATTACTAATAGGAATTAGGTACTCTTCAAGCGGAGTATTTTCAATTACACCAAACTGCTTGTTCTTTGGAAGGAAATTTAAAGTGATTGGTCACTGCTGAGTAGCTTTTTGGTACATTTATTTTATATTGAGATGGTTCGGAATCAGGTTGTTGTGCATTACTTATATCCAAGCTTGCTTTGGGGAATTTATTTTAAAATAACAGGTGTTATCCCCAAGAGTAAGTGCCCTGTCCCCTGATGGGAACCCAACCAGTTCTTATCAATTTTAAACCTCGATTTCTACAAACAAAATTTGCCGGCTCCTTTAAATTACACACACCGCATCTTTTCCTTTCACGATTTTAATCCCAACTTCCACTTAAACTCCACCTTTAACTTCTAAAATACACTATATTTCCATGACAAAAACGAAAAACAAAAAATCATTACCAATTTAATAAAAATCCGAAATCGAAACAACGAAGTGACCACTTTGGTGATCCATTGCAGAGTGATGTCTTCTTCTTCTTTTTCTTTTTGTAGATCTTTCGATCTGTTTAATTCTGAAGCTGCCTCTGGTTAATTTCTTGGGAGGTAGATTGCCAACTATCCCTCCATCTTTTAGGTGGTCTTCCGGGGGGTGTTGAACCGGGCGGATTGTTTTCTAGGGCAATTTTTGGGAGTCTATTCTCATCCATTCATCTTACATGGTTGTACCACATCCTCTTGCGCTGCCTTCCCCATCTTACAATATCTTGAATTTTGCACTGCTCTCTAATGTTTGTATTTCTCACTCTGTCTCTTCTTGTTTTCCCCATTATTGTTCTTAGGGTTTTCATTTCGGCAACCTTCAGCATCTGTTTCGTTTTGTTAGTATCTTCGCGCACTTCTATGCCATATGTCATGATCGGTCGTATGCAAGTCTTATAGATTCTAATTTTAATATCTGTGCGCATATACGGATTTGACCAGACTATCTCCCGCAGACATCCTAACAGTGCAGATGCTTTGTTGATCTGACTCCTCAGGTCCTTTACTGGGTCGTGGGTGTTTGATATATCTATGCCCAGATATCTGAATTGCATCACCTGTTCTATGGGGTTGTCCTCAACCACTAACTTACATCTTAGCGGATCTTTTGCTATTGTCATACATTTAGTTTTGTTGGTAGAGATGTTCATATTTAGTAGTCGGCTTGTTTGAAAGAACTGAAAGAGCTGCCTTTGGAGATCATCTTCTGATTCGGCAATAATTGCTGCATCGTCTGCGTAACACACCATACCAATTTTTTTGTTGCCCATTCTATATCCGAGATTAAGAGATGTTACTTTGTTGATAATTTGGCCCATGAGAAGATTAAACAAGAAGGGGCTTAAACTGTCGCCTTGTCTAATTCCTCCCGGTGTTAGAATATTTTCAGTGAATTCGTCTCCTGCTCTAACTTTGGTTACGTTGTTGTTATTTAGGTTATGGAGTATCTTTGTTGTACTGGTCGGTGTTTCATTTTCTATTAATATATTTAGAATGTCTCCCAGGCGAACTCTGCCAAATGCCTTCGTCAAATCAATGAAGCAAATATACGCTGGCATGCCGAACTCTATAGCTTTTTCTTTTATTTGTTTTATTATAAATACTGCGTCTGTTATAGACCGCCCTTTTGTAAAACCTTGTTGTTCTTCAGCATTAGTGATTCGCTTTTCCAATTTGTCCTTGAGAATACCCGTGAAAAGTTTCATTGTTGTATTTAAGAGGGTTATTCCTCTATAGTTTTGTGGGCAGGTTTTAATGATGTCATTCTGAAAAATCGTTCACGTCCCCGCATAACTTTCTCACAAATCTAAGTGGATGTTTATTTGACGTGCAATATTACGTGGAAACAATCAAAGAAATATATCTGATTAATATATAAAGACCAGAAATGTTTATAATACGCAATGACGCAAAAGGATTGCAGCAGCTACTCAATCCACCCAGCATTTGTTGGAAGCTGAGTTAAGAATAAAATATATTATTTGTATCGTCTTTCTTGTTTCTGTGTTCCTTACAAAACTGAGAACCAATCATCATTCTACTTTTGGTGTTCTCGTAAAATGTCC